GAAGGAAGGAAGGAAGGAAGGAAGGAAGGAAGGAAGGAAGGAAGGAAGGAAGGAAGGAAAGTGAAGGAAGGAAGGAAGGAAGGAAGGAAAGTGAATGACCGTGGTGACTACGGATGTTGTGAACCAGACACCAAGAACCCACTGCAGTGAATGGGGGTGAAAAGCACCTCATGGTCTCAGGCTGAACCAAATCTGCCCTCTAAAGGCTTCTAGAGACTTTGTGATGATTGGCCCCCACGCCCTGATGATTTCGTGTTAGAGGAACCCCCCACTCCCCCCGCCGGCAGTGCCGGGACCCAGTGCCGACACCCAGTGCCGACACCTCGCAACAAAGGAAATCAGTCAGACGATCCAAGCACCTCACTGGCCTACGGTGTCTCTGGAACAAACGCACAGAAGCTGTCCGGGGAAGGACGGCGCCAGGCCAGCCTCCCTTCCTCCCTTCTTCTCAGCCAGGGGCCTCCTTCTGCGTCCTCACACCCTTCGGCGCCGTCTCTCTAACGTGCAGCCCTGACTCAGGGAACGTTCTCACCTCACCCAAACCACTCCCAGCTTCACCTTCACTGCGGGAGAGTCTAGGCCCCGGGTTTCCTACCCGAGCAACTTTCCCTAACGAACCGAGAGCAGGGAAGCCTGCGGAACAGCCAGCCAACCTTCGCGCGCGTCCCCGAGAACACACGGTACGCCGGGCCCTGCTTCGGTCACGTCACACGCTATGTGCTGGCGACATGGCTTCTGGGTCTGTTAAGTCCTCTCTCTGTTACAGGAAGCGCCTTAAAGTAAGTAACCCTGTTATCAGCGCACTCGAGGCATGTTCTGGTGGAGTGGGCGACAGAGCTTTATCGCTAATGATACGACAAGTTCTGAATTTCACATCCAAAGAAGTGGCTCGTGACTGTCCAGAGCGGCACGGCCATCCGTCTGGTGTGCTGGCCCGCCCCTTTCCTTAAATCTGACCTCTGAGCCAAATGTGTGTGCGGAGCAAAGGCTGCCCTCCCTTAGGGATAAGTGTCCAGCCAAGGACGGAGTCCATGACCAGGGCCCATCGGGGTCTGCTCTCAACCCATCACCGGACAATCCACCTGCCAATCAATGCTGGCAAATCCCTGTGCTTATAGAGATCAGAAAGAATCTCATTCATCTGTGCAAAGCAATCACTTCTCTAAAATGCTCGGGTATATATACCACATACCTCTCTCTGGATACCAGGTAAGGACCCAGGAAATGTACACAGGGTGTGTAAGAGACTCTTCCTGTTTATTTTACTATTTTTAAGTGTTAACGGCCCAATCGAGAAATTGTATGTCCCAACAGCAGGATGGAACTGAAAAGTGAACTCTAGGACCTGCAGCCCAGTAATGGAAACTTAGCGGTAAACTGTGAAATCCCGTCGAGCGCTTTCAGCACTACCCTTCCACTGTGCTTCCCACGTTAGAAATGCAGACTTACGAGCAGGTATAAACTTTCCTGATGCCTTTGTGCTTGATCCGGTTGTGACGGCACAGGCTGTGTGAGGAGCTGAAAGATTTGTCACACTGGCGGCAAGGGTGTTTTTTCATTTGCTTTATGAGGAGAAAAGAGATTGAGAGTCACTTAAGAGAACAAAAACAGAACTGCTTTAAAAATTAAGAACTCTTCTGTAACGGTCTGCATTATATGGTCATCACTGTTTAGCAATACTAAGACAAAGCTAAAAGATTCTTCGTAACATGTAATAAAAAGGAAGGCCAGGGATGAGGTGACCAGGAAGGGACTAATTTCTGGAGAATGGGATAAACGTGATCATTAAGAGTAAAATATTATGTATTTTCTCAAAACACTTATAGTTTTGAGTCAACACAAACCTCCAGAAATCTGAAAACATCAAATTTTCTTTGCAAGAGAGATATAAATGTTCTTTTTATACTAGGGGCGCCTGGGTAGTTCAGCTGGTTGAGTGTCAGATTCTTAATTCTGGCTCAGATCATGATCTCACGGCTGTGAGATTGAGCCCCCTGGGTTAGGCTCTGCGCCGAGCATGGAGACCTGCTAGAGATTCTCTCTCCCTCTGCCTCTGCCCCTCCCTAGACTGTGCTAGAAACAAACAGCTAGCGGATTCTATACAAAAACGTAATTCTTTAATAAACACCAAATAAAACCATTACTTAATTTGTTATATCCAGAGAGAATGTTAACTTATCCAATATGCCATTTTAAATTAAATCTCTAGCTAATGTTAATAAGCATTTTGACTTCTCCCCCAAGGATTAAGTAACTATTCCTTACATAAGGGAGGAGTTTTCCAAAAGGCCTTTTGAATAGTACCATTTGGTTATTTCAAGGATGCACAGGTTTGAAACCACTTTATGGAGGCTGCCATGAATAAATGCAGCAGGTGCATGCGCGTGCACGCATGCTCGTGTGTATGGGGGTCGGGGGACAGTGACAAAGCAAGAGAAAGCTATCAAGAGATAAAAATCAAAGTTAAAAGTTTCCTACTTCAGCTGTGACATAATTATGTTAATTCCACACATTCTCATGTGGGAATTTTGAAGTCAAATGAGCGGCTTGACCTTACAGCGTGTTCTCTGGGTACAAGATGCAGTGAGGTCTGGAATCAAACAATGTCGTACCACAAGGAAATGAGATTGAGAAGCAACTGTCCACCTTGTGAATAGAACAAACTTTGGCAAAACCCTCATTCAAAATAAGGTTGAAGCAGAAGTTCTCATGTAAAATAACATTACTATTTATGACAGTAAGAAGAGATACGCAAAGCAATTGTGGGCTAAATGGTTAAAGAAAGGATAAGAATATTTTTTGAAGTTTTATTGATTTATTTTTGAGAGAGAGACAGAGACAGCATGAGCAGGAGAGGGGCAGAGGGAGAGACAGAGAGAGAGAGAGAGAGAGAGAGAGAGAGAGAGAGAATCCTAAGCAGGCTCCATACCCACAAAATGGTGAGATCATGACCCGAGCCAAAACTAAGAGTCGGACACTCAACTCACTGAGCCACCCAGGCACCCAGAAAGGATAAGTATTTTTAATAATTGTTTTTATATTAATCACTTGACAAAGATGCCCTTATTCACTGGTAGGCAAATCTATGTAAGTGGTTGTGTTTGGTTCTGGAGACCCCGAAATGGGTTGGCACCTTGTCTCTACGACTCATGCATCGAACCATACGACCCTGGGAAAGTTTCCCCACAAACATCCAGTCCCCAAACTGTTTGGTGGGGGCCACAACAGTGCCTTCCTCGGAGCGTGCTGGGGAAGAGGGGCACTAAAGGGTCTCTTTCCAAGAGAAAGAGGATTTCTCTTGGGGCACAGAGAAATCCTCAATAAATATTCTTTTATGAATAATAACAGAATACCCAAATTCATTTTAAGAGAGTGGAAAATACTGTCTTTTAAATGAAACACATCAGTCTGTGTTTAAAAACCTAGGCAGAGGCAAGGGAGGACATTTCTTCTCCACGCTAAAGATGGAAGACATAGTGTTGCTTTTATCGTTATCCTGAGCACATAATCTGGGATATTATGAGAATAATCTCGTGGGGCGGGGGAAGTAGGGAGGGGAGAGAGAGAGAGGGAAAGAGAGAGAACAGAGTGAATAACCAACTAATGCCTCTGAGCCACACTCTTTTTCCAAAACTTCCTTCATAAAACATCTTGATCACATAACATAGACAATCCCTAGTCTCTCGATTAGCATTTATGGAGCCAGAGAATAAAGAAGAGTTTTTTTTTTTTTTTTTTTTAATGTTTGTTTATTTTTGAGACACAGAGAGAGCGTGAGATGAGGAGGGGCAGAGAGAGAGGGGGGACACAGAATCCAAAGCAGGCTCCAGGCTCCGAGCTGTCAGCACAGAGCCTGACATGGGGCTCGACATACCACTCGAATTCATCAGATCAAGACTTGAGCTGAAGTTGGGTGCTTAAATGACTGAGCCACCCAGGCACCCCAAGAGGTTTCTTTACTTTAAGAATCATCATGGAAGTCCTACATTTCACTAAAGCTACATAAATCTAATGTCTAATTCCTATTGAATTCTGCACCTATGAGGTCACCCAGAACAGTCAAAACACAAGACATTTTTCTAAAAGTGAGAAGGTTGTAGCAAATCATCATCAAACACGTAGAGAGAATGTACACAGATCTTTCTAACCAGGTAACAAGGGTGATAGGCCTCAGGAAGGCAAACTGAGTTTTCCATGAAGATGAAGGGCTTAAAATTCCGTTTCTTGTTATGGTATCATTATATTAATATTAAATCCAAAAAATCTTTCTGAGATTTTTTTTTTTTTTTAAGTAATGTCTATACCCATTGTGGGGCTCAAACTCACATCCCCCAGATCAACAGTCCCCGTGCTCCCCGGACTGAGCCGGCCAGGTGCCCCCAAGTCAAAATTTTAATAAATATCAATTAAGAAATCCTCAGTAGGTAGTAACTTAAATGGAAGAGCAGCTTAGCTGAATCCGTAATTACTGTTTTCAAAAAGAGCTGACAAGGGGTGAGATAGGCTTCTTTTCCAACGTCTTTAGGGAAAAATGCAGAAATGAGTGGTGCAAGCCCAAAACAATGGAGCAGGGTTTCAAATCGCTGGTGACAGGAAAATTACAGGTTCAAACACCAGCTTCCTGATCGAACATGCCGTGTTCCCATTACCTAAGAAAACAAATGACTCCCTTCTCTGTTAAGCTTTAAGTACTAACTTATTTAAAGGTGTTTTACCTAATTTATTTTCATAACATATATCTTCAGTGTTATAAGAGTTCATACTGCACTGTACGACACAGAGAGCAAGTTTTACCAACCAAACAAAACCGGAAAACACAGCACTGAAAATGCGTAAAGTACGACTATCGCTCTGTTTGTTAAGGTCACTCACTGACCCCCTGGTTCCAGTGTAGCGCAAGCCGATTTTGAGGGAACTTGGGCCCTGAGTGGAATTTTTATAGTTAGGTTTTCCTGCTCAATGAGGAGTTATTTTGTTTTTAAATACAGCTCTTTAAAGAAATGGTGGACGAATATAAGCTGCCAGGGTCTGAACATTTCTGAAGATGTTAAATATAAAGAAAACAAACGCTTGAGTATATTTCCTAAACTTTTTCCCTGATTTCCCATTTCTGATTCTTTTACCTTCATTCTTTAGGAAAGCGTTAGCCCCTCTTAGCAAATCCTCTGCTCTGAGCGCCCTAGCCTTGGGCTCAAGGTCTGAGCTCTGGGATTTATGAAGCCTCTGAAGGCCATTCTTTCTGGGTGGCACTTGGTGAATGTGTTCTGGATTGCCCTGGGCCCTCACAACCAGACGCTGCCCGTTCTGATAACTAGTCCCTTCTTGTACCTTGGCTTGAAGCCCTCTTTCTCTCTAAGGTGACTGTGAAGAAGTTAGAGAGAGGAAAGTCCCAACCTCAGACCCTTCTGCCTCCCTGAGGTTCTCTGCCTCCCACCAACATGCAAAGAGCTTCCTTAACTATCATCGCACGCCCAGAATCACCCACAAATTTAGGAAGAACGGGAGCGGAATTATTCCCAAGCCATGCTGACACATACCCTTCAGTTCGATCACAAACACTTTCTATGAAAAAGGAAAACCCAACAACCTGTACAGACTTCGACCTGCCCCAACGGTGGACCCACAGGATGTAACTCTAAAACTCTGGACCTTTCCGTTTGGGAATCTATTCTACAGATACACCTGCACCGGTACAGTCAGTTCTGTACAACGTGACAACCATGTATCACAGGCCACAAATCACTACAACAAGCAACACCACGCAATAAAAACCAGAGGGCTTCCAGCAAGAACGCAGTTAAGGGCACAACACTCGATCGGTGACACACTTAAGAGCAGCATCCTGTGTAACCGGGCGTGGGAGGGGGTGGCTTGTTGAGATTCTGTGAAGCGGAGGAAGGAGGGTTACCTGAAATCAGAGGGTTGGAGGGAAGGTGTAACACCAAGTGTGGACCTGTGTGACTCAACGGGGAGATGAAGTCACTGGTGACCATCTGATGTGAGTACGTATGTTTCGTGGATTCCTGCACAAGTCCATTCCCCGATTTTCTGTGATCACCGCGTGTTCCTCTCGGGGATGAGGGCACCCAGGTGCGAATTCAGAATCCACATTAAGCTCCAACCCTTCCCTAACAGATCAACTGCATTAGAACAAATCTGTTTCCGACACAAGTGGTCTAGCAGACCGGATTGTACGTACGTACAGTTATGTACACGTATGTACATGGGCAGCACTGCACATGATGGAAAAGACAGGAAGAATTTGGCCCCAAGAATTTGGTCAAGGAAAAGTTGGTCAAACAAAGCATATGTGTTCATATAACAACACTCTTGTCCTGTAAGTGTGGAAAAGAATGGAAGACCCTGATGCACCGATACTAAGAGCTAAATGCACCAACACTAAGAGCTAGATACTACATACGACGGGAAGGGACCAGTGCTGAGAATTATTATATTCCTAGGCTGCGTTGTGCACCCAAAAGAAGTGAAAAGAGAACATACATGCACGTATGATGGTCCCTGAATAAGAGAAACTTCAAGATACAATAATAAGAAACGCAGT